GGGCGCGGCGGCGGTTTTATGGGAGGACGCGTGCGTAGCCGCGGGCCTGGCAGTCGCGCTGGTCCGAGAGGCCCAGCCCGGCGACCAGTGGCGCCGCGCCGTCGGCGCGCTGCTGCCCGCCGCAGCGCGCGCGCTGCAGCGCGCGGCCGCCGCCGTCCTGGGCGCCGGCCGCCGCGGCGTAAGCGGCGAGCTGCGGCCCGCGTGCTTGACGCTCTTTGCGCTTGCGGCGGACCTGACGCGGACGCTGCCGCCGTGCGGCCTGCCGGGGGCGCGCGAGGACCCGGGGGCCATGGCCGTTGCCCTGGAAGCAGCCCCCGCGCTGCTTGACACCCTGTGCTCGTTGATCGCGTCCGAGTGGTGGACAGCGGAGGCGGACGGGCTGCCGTCGCCTGCAGCAGTGATCGCGGACGCCCCACCTCCGCCTTGCGGCGACGCCCCGCCTTGCGAGCAGCTCCTGCTGCGCGTGCGGCAGCACGCATCGCGTCAGGGGTCGTCGGGGCGGCAGGGGGCAAAGCAGGGCGAGGGGCGGCAGGAGTCGTCGCAGCAGCCCGGACGGCGGCAGCTGCAGCCGGGTCAGCGGCGTTCAGGCAGCAGCGTAGATGCAGCAGCAGGAGCGACGGCAGCGATTACGACGGCACCAATAACGGCAGCAGCACCAACGGCAGCAGGAGCTGCGGCAGCGGCATCAGGGCTGTCAGCACCTACAGCGGTTGCCCTTGCGGCGGCTGCTGCTCACGTCGCTGTGGCAGCGTCACCAGCAGCCGCTGACGCTGCCGCAGCGGCTGCTGCAGCGGCGCCGGCGGCAGCGGTGCAGGTGTCGGGGGCAGCAGGAGCACAGCCGCCGCGTCCGCCTGCAGGCCAGCGAGAGGGGCCACCAGGCATGGCCCCAGGCCCCGCACCCCCAGCGAACCTGCCCGGGCCCGCACCATGCCGCTCCTGCGCGGCGTGCGGCAAGCAGGCGGAGCGCGACGGCGTGCGCCTGCGGGTGTGCCGCGGCTGCCGGGCGGTGTCCTATTGCTCTGTCGAGTGCGCCCGCGCGGACTGGAAGGGGGGCCACCGCACCTCGTGCAAGGCAGCGCAGGCAGAGAGGGCTGCGTCAGGCGTTGGCGCTGCCCAGCCGGCGGCAGCCAGTGCAGGGTGGACGCAAGGGGGAGCGGGGAGCGCCGCGGGGTGATGCGTAATTGTTCACTGCTTCAAATGTTGACTGTGTACACCATGCAGGGGTTTCGACGCCTGAGCTAGTTTTGCTGACACAGGAGAAAAGGCACACACCTGATTGATCTGAGCAGGCCAGGGACACCGCCCCCCCCATCATCCTTTCAAAAATGCCAAATGCCATGTAATGTTCATACATGTCATGTGTTCTGCTGCTGCTGCTGCTGCTGCCGCTGCTGCTGCCGCTGCCGCTGCTGCTGCTGCTGCCGCTGCCGCTGCTGCTGCCGCTGCCGCTGCTGCTGCCGCTGCTGCTGCCGCCGCTGCTGCCGCCGCTGCTGCTGCTGCCGCTGCTGCGGCTGCGGCTGCTGCTGCTGCGGCTGCTGCGGATGCTGCTTGTCACCCGGCGACAACTGTTCCCCCTTGAGTAGCAACGTGAGCACCGGCCCCTGCAGCAGCTGGCCCGCCACAATCGACATGTGAAACTCGCCGGCTGCCCCTGCCTGGGCACCTCTAAGTTCACCGGGAAGCTGCTTGCACAAGGGCTCCATCGCCTTGCAGGGCGTGGTTCGGAAGGGCGGCGCTAGGCCGCCCCTGATCGGCACATCCACGCCGTCACAGCTTCCACGCACATCCTTCACTGTGAAGCGCAGCGTGTTGCGCGCCGGCTCTGGCAGCGACAAGCCGCCGACGTATCGCCGCCCGGAAGTGCCTTCCTTGGCAGGGTGGTTGGGAAGGATCTACACAGGCAAACTCGCGAGGGGTTGCAGGCGGCTGCCAGCCGCCAACTCAAGCCTCAGTGAGGCGTGTAATCGGGTGTGGCGGGGCGATTTTGCGTGGCGATTTTTTGCTTGTGCGTGCGCAGCGCGCAGCGCTGGCTGCCGCTGGTCAGTGCCGGTCAAACCCCCAGCCCACTTCTCGTGGCTCCGTGGCTGTTATGCACGCTGACAGGCGTTTTCAGAGCTGCATTTAGCGGCTGCTGGATCCTACTCACGGGCCACTTCCCTTGTTCGCAGAAACGTGCGTCAGCCAGGCGGTCGACTCTCGCAAAAAAAGCGCCCACACACGCCACAATCAATCATTTCCAATGGGTTCGATCTTCACCAAGGCTTCTCCTTCGAGCTTACAGGCTGCGAGTATAAACCCTCAGGGTTCCGCCTCCACAAGGTTGCGCAGCGCTTGCATTGCACAATCGCAGCGCGCGCCGGCACCCTTCCCTCCTCTCCCGCCCCCAACTTCTTGCAGCATCGGGCTACACCCAGTATGCACAAGACTTTCGGACTTTGCGGCCGGTCCTTAAACTGGTCCAGCTTGTTGCCTTCGGCAAGCCGCGGCGGTTTCCACCGCTTGCAGTGGCACCCCTTGCTTGCTAGGACCTTTCGGGTGTCCTGGTTAGATGCCTTCGGGCGTTGGGCAAGGAAAGCGACACGCACGCTGTGCTGTCACGGGTCTTGCGTCGACCCCTTCTTGCAAGTGCCTTCGCGGCACGCCGCGGCGGCCTCGGCTGCTTGCAGTGGCAGCCCTTGACACCGTCTGGTCGACGCGAGGCCTTTCGGGATAATGCAAGGGGACACACCAGTGCAGAGAGCAATCAAAGCACCCAAGCCAGTGAGCGGTGCCATTTATTTTGGGGCCCAATTCGCAGCACACCTCCTCGTGGTGGGCCCTGGCACGGCGGCGGGCTCGACCCATGCCCGCCTGCCAACCAAGATGCTGCTGTTTCATGTGCAGACCGCTTCTGTGCCTGTTTGCGTTGGGTGTGTGTTCTTTCAAGTTGGGGGTGGCATCTGGATGTGGTTGGGTGTGTTGATTCCTAGCAGACACGTGAATGTGTGAGTGCAGCTGTAGTACATTACATAGGCTAGGGCAAGGTTTGAATGGGGCGAGTGCACGTGTGCTCGTTCAACACCAGCACTGTTTAAGGCTGTGCCTGCGCTGCCGGCAGAATCCTGCTCGCGGCCCTCCCTCCCCTCAACCCCCTTCGTGACCAAGCTTCAAACATGGTTTACGCAGAAGCAACTCGGATACAGCGGGGGGCTGCCCCCTTTCTGCTGGGTGAAGCGGTTGGTGCCCCGGGCGTTCATGCAGCGGGAGGACGGGGATCAGGCGCCACTCTGGGTTGCGTCGCTTACTGTGCGGGCCCGTTGGTAGGGATGCGGCGCCGTAGCTGCCGCCCGGGTGCGCCACGCCCTTTTATAGCTTGTCACAGCTTGTGGCAGTAGCTGTTATATGTCCTCTTTGCAGACCCGCCGCGCGCGCCGCCGCCGCCGCGGCCGCGGCTGACGCAAGGGGATCAGCAGCGGAGGGGCCGGCACACGTGGGGGCGCGCGCCGGCCGCGGCTTGCTGAGGAGAGCCACTGCCGCTCAGGGGCTTCCAGCATGCAGGATGAGGTGTTTCCTACGTACCAAATCAAGCCCGGTGCAAGACGCGCACGGCTACGCAACCCCCTTGTGAATTTTAAGCTCTGGGGATTGGCGACGCTGCAGGATGTGGGATGCACCGCACCCGCCTGCACCTGCAGCTGACTCATGGTTGGGGCAACGAGCACCATGCCACAGTCCAAGCAGGACTTATAGGTGGGTGGGACTGTATAGTTGTCACCAGTGCCATTTATTGGGGTGCGGCGCTGTGCAGTCAACTTGTCATTTGGAGGCTTCCGCTGCACGTCGCAAATCCCTCAACACCTCTGGTGCACAATCCACCATCAAATTGTTGTCAGGGTTGGTTACACAGAGTCCCATCCTGCCAAGGCGACCCCTTCCCTCATGCGCTGCTGCCGCCCCCGCCGCCATCCCACGCCGCCGCTCCCGCCCCGCCGCGGCCGCGCCCGCCGCTGCCACTGGGCACCGCGGCGCCCACCGTCGCCGCCGTCCGAGCCGCAAGGGCGAGCGCCTCTCGCCGCAGGCGCGACAGCTCAGCGTCCTGGGCGTCCCGCGACTGCTGCAGCGACAGCACCTGCTGCTGCAACGTTGCAACCTGCTCATGCAGATGGCAGGCGTGCGCGGCGCAACGCGGGGCTGTTTGGGCTGGCGGTGCATGGCATGTGATGGGCAGCGCAACGGCGCTTCGGCAGGATCAGGAAAGGAGTGCCGAGCACGAGCCGAGAGCAGCCACGGACAGGAGCGCCATCAGACGTCATGCTTGTGGATCCTCGGGTTCCCCCGCCGCCCACCACACCCTACCTGGCTCTCCAGCATTCGGTTGCGCTCCCGCGCCGCCCCCAGCGCGCCGCCGGTGCGCTGGCCGTCCGCTTCGACACGGAACTCCCTACAGGAGGTTTGTGGGGAGTGCGCGGCAAGCGGAACGCACATTTTCTTTGGGTTTGCCGTCAAGCTTGAGAGCCCTCCTCCTGTTGGCCGCGCGGCCGTTGCCACCGACTGCGGCTCCTTGGTCGTGTTTGTACATGTGCGTGGCTGGGCTCCTTGGAGGGACAATCGCAAGGGTGGCAGGCAATCCAGGCGGCGTGGGCGTGGCAGGGGCGCGGCTGGGGCGTGGCACTCACCTGGCCCGCATGCTGGAGAGCAGCCCCTCCAACTCGGCCACGCGGCCCCTCTCACAGCCGAGGCGATGCTCGAGGCTCGCGTTCTCGGCCTAAGGGATTGTGTGTGTGTAAGAGTGTGTGTGTGTGTGTGTGTGTGTGCGCGCGCGCGTGGGCATGTGACGTGCGCTCACGTCGCACAGGTGCGCGCCCTCTTGCATGTGTGCAGGGCTATGCCCCTCCTTTGTCACCACAGGGGCCTGGGTGTCCAAGTACATGCTTGCTCCGACGAGGCATCGGGAGCAGACAACATGCAGCGCATCAGCAATCGCCGCACAAACGCGTGCTCAGTCAACCGTTCCGCCCAACCTCCCCCGCAACTACACACACACGCAAACACACCTATACACACACACACTCACAGAAACACACATACACACACACGCACACACATACACAGACACACACGCGCGCACCTCCATGTCGCTCAGCCGCGCCTGGGCCATGCCCAGCTGCGCATCCATGGCCGCCAGGTGGCGCTGCTGCTCCTCACGCGCCCTCTCAAGGTCCAGCCGCACCTGCGACCCCCCAGGTTGCCGAGACATATTGAGGTGTGCTTGACAACGCGCCGCGCTGTTGTGATGCAAGCAACGGCATGCTGGGCTGTAGAGGTTTGCGCGAGATGTGCCTCAAACAAATGTTGTGTGAGTGGAGCCTTTGCCAGGGCTGGATGAAATAATGTACGCACAGGACGGCGCGACATCCGTCGCATGCCAGTTGTTTTACTGAACCAGACGGAGCCTATCGCTGGATCACTTGCGGACGTGCGCGTGGCGCAGGCGCCCGGCCGTGGCGCCCCAGCCACCGCGGCGCGGGCGCGAGGACAGAGCGCCGCCCACCAAACCCGGCAGCGGCGGGCGCGCAGCGTCCGGGCCGGCACGCGCCACGTGCCCCCGTCGCCGCGCCCGCCGCGCGCGGCTGGCCCACCTGCTGCGCCGCGCGGAGCTCTCCGAGGAGGCCCTCCCTCTGCCGCGCGATCTCGCTGCCGTCTGCAGCGTCCCTGCTGCGCTGCCGGCTGAGGTGGTCGACCTGCCGTTCGTATGCCTGGTGGATACAGAGCGTGTAGGTGTGTGTGTGTGTGTGTGTGTGCGTGTGTGTGTGTGTGTGTTTATGTATTGTTGTGGCGGGCTAGGGGTTGGGAAGGGTAGAGGATGCATTTTGAATAGGACAGGATGGCCGGAGGGCCAACGGCCCCCATGCTTTGGACAAGACCTGGACCGTGCTTCGACCCCCGATGCTGCAACGGCTGCGGGACGTGACGGCTCTGGAGCATTGCCAGGATCTTGCGACCCGATCGCACACGGCGCCTGGACCTCCTCTGGAACCGGGGGTTGACGCCCTACTGACAATCGCACGCACAGCAACGATCGCAGCACTGCAAAACAGCGACCAGGAACGCGACGGTGCACCATCAACAGCCAGCGAGAGGGATGCAGAGCGACGCCGTGCTGGCACGCCACCCAGAGGCGTGCCCCTCTCGCCTGCAGGTCCAGTAGGTACTGGTTGGCCGCCATCTGGGCCGCGCGCGCGGCCTCCTGCAGCGACGCCACCTCCTCGCCGGCCGACGCAAGCGCCGCCTCGCGCATCGCGGCCTCCCGCTCCAGCTGCAGCACCGACGCCTGCGGAAATCAGGGTTTAGGGTCGGAGGGCGGCTGGGTGTGGGGGGGGTGAGGCTGCGGGGAGGAGGGGCGGGGCGCAGGACGACGCCAAGGGGTTGAAGGCTGGGCTGCAAAGATCATGGGATGGAGCGTCGCCTCACACGACCTCCACTTATCCTCCGCGGCTTTGAGGCGCCCCGAGCTGACGTACAGAAATGAGAGTCGCGCCTGCAAGCGGGACCGCTTTTCAATCCGCCACTAGCGAAAGGGCAAACGTCTCCGCGCGCGCGGCCGTGTCCCAGCGGGCGCGCCCCGGCGCACCTGCGCCCGCCGGTGTTCTGTTGCGAGCGCCTCGTACGCGGCACGCACGTCCTCGACCTCGGACGCCTTGGAGCGCGCGGCAACCTCGGACGCCGAGAGGCGGCGGCGCGTGAGCGCCAGCTCCTCGTCCAGGGCCGAGCACTGCTGCTGCAACGACGCCAGCTCGCTGCTGACCACCTGCAGGCCAGGGCGATGGCATTGGAGCAGTGCGCGTTTGCATGCTGTGTTACTCGTCGCCTCCGTGCCGAAGACAGTGTTGCTTGGGTGAAAAAGGCGGGCGAAGTGAGACGGTCAGGGACACCATGAGGTCGCCTTGTTGAGTTGGCAGGCGCGGTGAAAAAAGCAGGGCCGGCGACGGCCAGCAGCTGACCTCGAAATGCAGACGGGAATCAAGTATTAACCCTGGGTTCGTCAAATCCAAGAGCCTGCCTGCGTACTGCCTGCGTCAAGAGCACCCCCGCTGGCCTCGCAGGACACTCCTTGGACGTGCAAACCTGCCCTGATCGCGCCGCCCGTCGGGGCCTCAACTTATCCTGGTCAAACAACGCCGGTCAAACCGGACAAACGCGCGGTCAACGGGGAGGAGCGGGCCCCACCCACCTGGTTCTCCCTGACCAGCGCCTCCATGTCTTCCCCCAGGGCGCGGTACTCCTCCCTCAGAGCGCCCTGCTCCCCCTCAGTGGCCCCCAGGTGACTCAGGGCTGACTCCAGCTGCGACCTCAGGGCGGACACCTGTGGTGATGGCGCGTGTCGTGCAGATGCGGCGAGTCCGTTTTGCGCCCCAATCCATCGCGACACAGCAGCGGGCGCGTTGCAACAGGGGTCAAGAACACACATGGATCATTGCAACGCAGCCTAGACACGAGCTAATTCCGCGAGCTGCTGCACTTGACAGCAAAATGTATGTTTTTGTATGCGCAAGCGGGCACAGGCTCCATGTGTCACTAGTGGTTCACTTTTGCACAGCCGGCGCCCAGCCGCCCCACCTCCAACGCGAGCTCGTGACACCGCGCATCCGCAGCCGCCACGCGCCCCTCCGCCGCCGCAAGCGACCGCGCCTGCGGGGCGCAGAGGTGGGTGCACATGCGTGAGGGGCGACGCCCTCTCAGGCCTCCAAGCAGCTTGCATACGTCGCGAGCCCCTCCCAGCGGCCCCTCCTCGCGGCAGCTGCAGATGAGAACTTGCAAGCCTAGGTAGATCTCGTAATCTTGGGCGCAGATCCCACCTGCGCGTCTGCCGCCTGCCGCGTCTCCGCCAGCTCGTGGTCCAGCTCAGCAAGCTGCTCCTCCCGCGCGTCCAGGGACCCCTGAATTGGATGGCACGCGTTCGCCGACGGCCGCGATGAAAGGACGGACGAAGTCAGGGCGGCGCATTCATCCCGCCGCAGCTCGCCCATGCCAATGACGCGGCAGGGGCACAAGCATGTTTACAGGGCGCGGGCGCGCTGCAAAAGCGTTTGGGAAGCGGGCAGGCCGCGAGCGTGCGCATGTGTGCGTGCGCACCTGCAGGGCGTCCTTCTCTGTGTCCAAGCTGCGCAGGGCCTTCTGCAGGTTGCGGGCCTGAGAACAACAGGTTGGACGGATGTAAGCAAATGACTGGGTTCATCGGTTTGATGAGTATTGACCAGGTACGGGACAGCAATCGCGCCGTTGGCAGAGCGTGCAGCTTATGTCAACTGCAATAGGCCCACAGACAGGCGTGGCCAAGCCAGCTGCATCAGCACGTGCAGCGCGCCCCCCACCCCCCAGCGTTGACGCGCAGCCCAGCACGGCAGGCGTTGAAGGCACAAGCAGTGTCACCGATTCCCCACTGCTGTGGCCCCACCTCGGCCGTGGCCGCCCCAAGCTCCTCCTCTCGATGCTGCAGGCGCCCCTCCGCATCCGCCAGCCGCAGCTGGGCGGTGCGGAGGTCGGACGCCAGGGACTGGGGCAGCGATGGGTGAGGCGACGCGATGGGAGGGCGAAGCACAAGGTCAAGCTGATCAAGCTTTGATGTTGGTGGTGCGCCGCACCCAATGGGAGCGCGGAGAATGGCAGAAGAAATCGAAGGGGCATTCAATTGGGTGTGGCCCAAGCTGTATCAGAAGGCAGGGGCGGGGCTGTCGCAGGCACAAGGGCGTGTCTGATGTGGGGATGCCGGGATGCGGTGCGTGCGAGCGCAGCTGGGGCCGAATCGGGCCCCCATGGCCGCGGCATCCACCTTGACGTTGCTCATGTACTCCTGTACCGTCGCATCCCCCCTCAGGCTGAGCGTCGTCAGCGCGTCGACCGCCGCCTCCTTGGCCGCCAGCTGCGCCTTAACCTCGGACTGCGCGGCGCGCGCCTCGGACAGGGAGGCCTGGGAAGCTTCCAGCTGGGATCGGACCTGGGGGCGCAGGGAAGAGGGGCGTGCGCCAGCAGAGAGGGTGCAGGGCAGCCATTTGAACCACAGCGCCAGGTGGTGACGGTGCGCTGACACAGGTATAAGTTGAGCGTCCGGCTGTCGAGCACTCGATTCCTGGTGCAAGTCGGCAGCACTTATGGTCGCGGGGTGGGCCAGCTGTGGGCCACAGGCAGCAGAAGCCGCACTACTTTTCATGCAGTGGGTTGACGCTGTCAAACAAAGTCAAAGCGCCGCACCTGGGCAAGCTCCGCCTCCGCCTCCTCGCAGAGGGTCTCGGCGCGCCGCGCCCGGTCGGCGTACTCGCGCCCCTGCGCGCGCGCCGCATCCTCGCGCTGCCGCGCGGCGCGGGCGGCGTCCTCTGCCGAGGCGAGCACGCCCTGCGACAGGTGCGCCGAGGATCGGCACGCAGAGAGTGACGGGTAGATTTCACGAGCCCAAACTTGGTGACAGTAGGTGCGTTGTTGAATTTGCAAGCATTGATTTGGTTGAAGAGGCACATTGAGCAGATCGGTTTCGGATTAGATTCAAAAACAAAAATGCATCAGCCGGGAGGTGGTGAGTGATTATCGCGCATTGAACACCTGCAACCGCTCCAGCTCCGCCTCCCGCTCTTCCAGCTGCTGCTGCAGCCCCGTCAGCCGCGCCCTCAGCCCCTTCTCGCGCACGTCCGCGGCCGCGACGCTCGCGCCGCCCTCGTCCGCTGCGCTGCGGAGGGCCTGGGGCGGCGCGTGGTGGTTGGGGCGGCGGTGGTGGCGTTCGTCATCATGTGATGCATGTGATAAAAGGGCGGGCCGCTCAAGTATGCGCGTCACATGCACAGACATGCAGGCTGTGGATGCGCAACCACCCACAGCAGTCCATTCGCGCAAGGGCAGAGCAGAGCAACGGGTGACAACACAAAACGGCCCCGCTCGCCCCGCAGAGCTTGCCGCGGCGCGGCGTGCGCGCCGGGCTTCCGCGGTAGCAGCCAGCCATCGGCCTCTTTACCTGGAGCTCAGCCTCCGCCGCCCTCAGGTCTGCCGCGGCCCGCTCCTTCTCGGCCTCCGCCCGCGCCCGCGCCGCGCCCGCCGCCGCCGCCGCGCGGCGCGCGTCGGACAGCGCCGCGGCGTCGGCCTCGCGCGCGGCGGAC